CTACTGTGCATGTGTGTCAAGGACAGAAAGGCCGATGTGGCAGTGGAAGGTGTCAAAGCAGTTTGGAGAGAAAAACTAAGTAAAGAAAAAAAAAGAAAAAGAAAACAATTAATCGATTATTAAATTAGTCATCGATTATTTTAATAATCGATTAGTCGTAGATTAATCGATTAATCGTTGCAGCCCTAAAATCCATAATGATAGGCCTGTCACGATAACAAATTTTACTGGATGATAAATTGTCTTAAATTATTGTGATAAACGATAATATTGTTGGAGACCAGTTTAAACAAATATAATGATATAAACCCGTTTATGGAAGTTTACATTAAAATGTACATAGTGTAAAAAAAAAACAAACAAATGTCTGTAATCCCAAGGTGTTGCCAGCTGCACGAATGATTCAGAAAACTGAAGACGCTCCTCTGCCTAAAGGCCTATTCATGGGCTCTCATGCTGCAGAGGTTAGAGACCATGCGCCTGGCAAATACCTGATGCCAGAGTTCACTCCTCTTTATGCTAAGAAGTAGAAAAGARGGAGRCACAAAGAAAACAAACAAGCATGCAAAAGAAAATTCTTGTTCTCATTTTAATTTATCATATGATTAAATGATTTATTGTTTATTGTGACAGGCCTACATAATGAAATTTGTTGCTAACCCTTTTAATAATTTTTATTGATTTTATCTATTAGTTGTTGCAGCCCTATCACAAAAGATTTACACTACAATTAAACTTTATAAAGTCACGTTTAAAAATGCGTACCACGCTGTTACAGTTTAATTACAMACATCCAACATTCTTAATCCACTACCAGCCAGTTATCAATTATCAGTGTTTGACACATCTTTGACTTCTTGCTGAAATAAGTTTTTCCTGTTACATTTCTGATAAACTGTGCTCCACAAACCTTAGTGAGTCACAGAAGATGTTATCAATATTCCACAGCAGGAAGCCAAACAAAAAGATGCCTAACGATGCGTAACACAGCGGCCTGAGCCATGGGTACACCCTGAGAGTCAAGAGAAACACAGAAACAAAGCATCAGCACCTCCTGAATAATAACAGCAGCTCTCTCAATATTTAATCATAGAAAACTTACCATGTAACAATGAAAATCGATCGCAATACCAGGCAAGCTACCAGAGCACCATACATGACCTGAAAAATGGGGGGGGGGGCACATACAATGAAAGGTTAGAAACAGCTGAACTCAAATCAACCAGAGTTTATCCATTTCTACTCTGTACTGGTTCACCAACATGTGACGTGTTGATCCAGTGACATCCAASCATCATTATTTCTATACGTCTTCACTCATTACACAACCAGGGCTGAACCCTGAACTCTCTGAGCTTCCAGACCACAGTCACACAACACCACTGCACCAAACAGCAGGACAGAACAGCATACAAGAACATCTGTGCTGAGTATGGACYGGAGTCCTGCAGTGAAAGTATGAGATTCCACGAAGGGTGGTGAAAACCAGCAGGTCTAACATACTGTGGGACTTCCAGATCCAGACTGACAAACAGTGATCGTGTTCATCACTAGTGGTGAATCAGAAGAGCCAACTCCCTTCCTGGCTCCATCCATCCATTATCTTCCGCTTTATTCAAAGTCAGGTTGCAGGGGCAGCAGCTTGAGCAGGGAAGCCCAAACCTCTCTTTCCCCAGCCCCGTCTTCCAGCTCTTCTGGGAGGACTCCAACGCATTCCCAGGCCAGCCGAGAGACATAGTCTCTCTAGCGTGTCCTGTGACTTCCTCGGRGTCTCCTCCCAGTTGGACATGCAAGCACCTTCCTATGGAGGCATCCAGGAGGCATCCTAACCAGATGCCCAAACCACCTCAACTGGCTCCTCTTGATGTGGAGGAGCAGCAGCTCTACTCTGAGTCTCTCTATGATAACTGAACTTCTTACCCTATCTCTAAGGGAGAGTCCAGCTACCCTGYGGAGAAAACTCATTTCGACTGCTTGTATCTTGTTCTTTCGGTCACTACCCAAAGTTCATGACCATAGGTGAGTGTAGGAACGTAGACTGATCAGTAAACAGAGAGCTTTGCCTTACAGCTCAGCTCCCACTTCACCACAACAGACCAGTACAGAATCCGCAAAAGTGCAGAAGCWGCACCAATCCRTCTATCAATCTCACGCTCCATTCTTCCCTCACTMGTGAACAAGACCSCAAGATACTTGAACTCTTCCACTTGAGGCAGAACTTCACCCCCAATCCGGAGAGAGCGATCCACCCTTTTCTGACTGAGGACCATAGACTAGATTTGGAGGTGCTGATCCTCATCCGAGCCGCTTCACACTCAGCTGCGAACTGCTCTAGTGAGAGCTGAAGATCCTGGCGCAATGACACCAACAGAACCACATCCTCTGCAAACAGCAGAGATGAAATCCTGAGGCCACCGAACCGGATTCCCTCCACCGCCCTTACTGCACCTCCCCGTTACCTTCCTGGCTCTTCAATTTTTTCCCCCTCATGCTGGCGTTGTGATCAATCACATGAGAGGATAAAGGACATGGGTGGGCAACCTTAGCTTTCAAGGCTGTTATCCAGTATGTTTCACGTTCTCTACTCCACATACCTGGTTTGAATGACAGGTTATTAATGGACTTCAGTTCTGCAGAAAGAGGCATTTCAATCACTGAATCAGGTGTGTTGGAGCAGAGAAACAAGTCAAACATACAGGATAGCGGCCCTCCAGGACTAGAATTACCCACCCCTGATGTAGGAGCATTCCAATTATAAGGTTTCTCATGAAAACATTAAATGCCAAAGGGTTTATTAAAAACACACAAAGCTTTCATATTTGACAAGTTAAGCTAAAGTATGAGGCTGCAGATGATCGCTAAAGAGTCATTTGGAAGACAAAAGAGCCGTCTCTTCTTTGGGAGCCGTTCCACAAGAGCTGAACTTCCCATCACTACTGACAAACAGGTGATGATAACCAACCAGACACTACGGTCTACAAGCTACAGAGGAAGGCAGTTGTGATAGATGTAGAGATCCTGAGTGACTGTGACATCAGGAAGAAGGAGCAGCTGGAGAAAGAGCTGAAAGAGGAAATACAGAAGCTGTAAAGAGTCAAAGCAGTAATAACACTGCTCATTGGTTTGTGGTGCAAAGCCAACAAACTACAAGAGTGTCCAGAAGAGCTCAGTCAGCTAAGATACTGAACAGAACCYTCAAACTCCCAGACCTCTGGTAGAGGACCTCAGTTTGAAGTGAAGTGGAACCACCCAAGTGGAAGAGAAGGGTGAGGTTCACAAGATGAGACTTTTTTATTTTTAAGTGGAAAAAAAACTTTTTCTGCAGAAAAACTGACTGGCCTCTTTAACCAAACATGACATTCTAACTTCTTCTAAAAGTTGTGTGACCTTTGAACACARCTTTTTATCAGGGGGCAAAATCCAAACCCTGAAAAACAATTCCCTGTTTTTGAATAATTTAATTTGGCCACAAAATTAATGCAGAACTACAAACCTAAAAAGAAAAGTTATCAATAAAAACAGAATTAACTGGATTTTTGTTAATAAAAGACTATTTATGATTTTGCACATCCTAAATCAAGGTGCTCAGTCTCTTTCTCAGACATGGGTCACYGGGGCCCCACCCTGGAACCAGGCTAGGGGGAGGGGCTTGTTGGTGAGTGCCCGGTGGCTGGGTCTCTACCTGTGGGGTCCAGCTGGGCTCAGCCAGAACAAGCAACATTGGTTTGCCTTCCTGTGGACCCACTACCTGCAGGAAGGGCTATAAGAGTCGGGTGCATGATGCCATGGGCAGTAGCCAAAGGCGGGGGCTTGATAATTCTTCATAACTTTAAGTTCTGGGAGTGTAAAGGCACAGCGTACGTTCCTTAAAATGGTGGACGATTGCTGATTCTAGAGGATTAAATATTTGTTTTCTCTGTGTGATACAGAATGAAAATGCTGTTTGGCAGTGGTTAAAACTTCTGAAAGGTGATTTTCTTGGCTGAAGTGTTCTGAAAGCTTGTTGTTTCCTGCCATTAAAAGGCCTACAAAACATCACTGGATGGAAATAAGCTGTAATTTACAGTTGGGGAAAACATAGACATCATGTTCCAGCCGTCTTTACACATAGTGTGTTAAAAGCTATTTGTTAAAGTACGCTGAGAAAGCTAGTTATGTTGTGCATGCAATGCTCCGTTACGAATGATACGAAAAATTCAAGATGGTGGCGGTGGCGGCAGATGTATGTAGCTGTGCAGTATCGCTGCAGGAAAATACATCCCATTTGGCTTTACAGGCATCTGCAGGTCTGTTTTTGACCAAATTTACCTGAGCTTTAGTGTTGATGTTACTCTGTATGCTACATAAACGGAAGATCAAAGACGCAAATGACGGACATCATTTTCAAAAAACAACAGCACACAAGTGTCCTATGGCGTGTATACAAGCATYGACCATAAGTTATCCTAACTTTGGTAAATATCATCTACCTTGCCAGTTGGGCTGGTTTCTCCAGCTTGCTGCTGTTGCGGCATGTCTCGGTGGAGTGGCGGATGTGGATGGAGTCCTGATGCATCTCAGTAATCCAGGTAAAAAATCAAAAAGAAAAAAATTGTGTAGGTCTTCTGGACGGGTTCTTCTCTAATGAAACGTTTCGTCTCTTCTCCAAGAGACTTCTTTGTTTCTTCTTCGTTTCTTCTTCGGTGAAGAAGTCTCTTGGAGAAGAGACGAAACGTTTCATTAGAGAAGAACCTGTCCAGAAGACCTACACAATTTTTTTCTTTTTGTGGATGGAGTCCCTCGGCCCTCGGATTGTCCCTCGTGTTTGGACGGAGCACCTGGGGTGGACTTGCCGGCCTGGACG